GGGCAACTTAGACACTGGCTACCCAAAATGGGGAAGCTACAAAGGCAAGAAGTGACTGGCTTACAAACTTTCAGTAGGGAGCCTAGCTCCAGAGGGTATGGAGAAAGGCAGAATCTCCACTGAGTGGTTTCCAACGTGTCTGGACGGGGCTGATGAAAGGTGATGGGGATAAGACTCTTGTGGTTCAATAGGGAATGGTTGCTATCAGGACTGACTGTGAGTGTTGGAAAGGTAAAGGTAGACATTTTGTAACAAAAGGAGGTTAGTGGTTGATTTTGCAGTCCAGGAGCATAGGTCCCTGGAACCATAAAGGGAAAAAAGCAAAGTGCGGGACCCTATCCAGAGAAGCAGTGATACCAGAGATGGAGGCAGAGATGATGATGTGGTGAGAAGGAGCGGCTGAGGACTCTAGACTCAGGGAGAGAGAGGGGCTGTGTGCTGACAGCAGGATGGGACAGGCTTTTGGAGTATACCCTTTGGTTGTTTGATGATGCATGCAGGGAATTGTAATCATTGCAATGAAATGAAATACAATAGTATGAATGTAAAGATAACGTTCTCCCTGTAAACTATCACAGAATTCACAATAAAAACTTTTAAAAAGAAACAACAAAAAATAAATAAATAAAATTTAAAAATAAATAAAGTGCCCTGATACCTTGTAAGTGAAAGGTTGACAGTTCAAACCCACCAGCTGCTCCACAAGAGAAAGATGTAGCAGTTTGTTTCTTTAAAGATGTACAGTCTTAAACATTCTCTGAGACTATTCTACTCTGTCTATAGCAGCAGTAAGGAATGGCCGGGCCACGGGCTGTTTTGTTGTTGTTGTTAGAACTATCAAATTGGTGACAACCCACAGCAACCCTGTATAGGGAGGATTTCTGAGGAGCTGTTGGTGCGCTTGAACCACCAAATTTGCAGTTCAAACTGACTTTGCAGTCCAGTGCTTTAGCCCAGGCCCTCGAAATCATTTGGTCTGGCCCTGTCAAGGCAACCACAGTTCCAGCCGTCACATTAAAGGTGAGTTAATTAAATGTTTGACCAAGTATAGTAGGATAATTAAAATTTTTATAATAATTTTGTATGGCCCGCAAATGATGTTATAAATTTTGGCAGAAAAAGATCTCCCCCCTCACCCCCATCTATAGGGTCAGAATCAACTCCATGGCAGTAAATTTGGTTTTTGTAAAAATATCTCATGTATCCATGCATTTATAAAGCTAAAACTCTAAATACGCTACTTTACTTTTGGAACCTTCTAATGAACTCCGGTAGCGCAGTGGTTACGAATCCAGCTGCAAACCACAAGGTAAGCAGTTCGAAACTATCAGCTGTTCCACGGGAGAAAGATGAGGCTGTCTGCTCCTGTAAAGATTTACAGCCTTGGAAACCCTGTACAGGGTCCTATGAGTTGGAACCAACTCCACTGCACATAACCACCACTAATGTACTGGTGCAAGGAGCTCTGGTAGCATAGTGGTTACGAATTGGGCTGCTAACCTCAGGGACAGCAGTTCGAAACTACCAGCTGCTCCATGGGAGAAAGATGAGGCTTTCTGCTCACATAGATTTATAGCCTCGGAAACCCTGTACAAGGTCGCTATGAGTCCGAACTGACTCCACGGGACATAACAACGATGTACTGGTGTGACGCTGTGGGTTAATGCGTTAGACTGCAAAGATGTTTGAACTGCAAGATTGGCGGTTCAAGCTCACCAGCTGCTCCTAGGAAACCCTATATAGAGTGAGGCCTTCTGCTCCTGTAGATTTATAGCCTTGGAAACCTGTACAGGGTTGCTATTAGTCGGAACCTACTCCACGGCACATAACCAACCAACTAATATACTGTAGGAGTCCTGGTGTGGCTCTGTGGGTTAATGCACTGGACTTAAAGGTCAGTTTGAGCCGAAAAGTTGGTGGTTCAGCTTACCACCCACTCCTTGGAAACCCTATACAGGGTTGCCATCAGTCAGAACTGACTCCATGGCACTTTAACAACAACAACAAATGTACTGTAGGAGTCCTGGCGTGGTGCTGTAGGTTAATGCACAGTCGGCAGCTCAAGCTCACCAGCTGCTCCTCAGAAATCCTATACTTAAAACTGACTCAATGATACTTAACAATAACAACGTATGGGGACTTCCACTGTGGCGCTGTAGGATCTGCACTGGATTGCAAACCACATGGTCAGCAATTCAAACCCATCAGCTGCTCCTTGGACACCCTATACAAAGTCTCTATGAGTTGGAACCGACTCAACAGCACTTAACAACAACAATGTATCCTAAGGAGCCCTGGTGATGCAGTGGACTAGCATTGGACTGCTAACCGAAGGGCTGGTAGTTCAAATCCATCATCTGTGGGAGAAAGATGAAGGCATCCTGTTTCCATAAAGATTTATAGCCTCAAAAGCACTAGGAGCAGATCTATTTTGCTATAAGTCAGAATTGGTGTGGGTTTGGTGTTTTTGGGGTATTTTTTAGAATGTTTTCTGGTCAGAGCTGTCCTTATTATCTGTATGTGCTAAAAGCCACACTCTTGTTTTCTAGTGTTTTTTATAGTTGTTGACTTTGTCAAATTATCTGGTGTTTTTGCTAGAGTATTCGTATTTCGTATTTGTGAACCTATATCAATAACTTTTTTTGAGGATGAAGTAGTAGTCAAAGGGAAAGAAGAATAAAAAAAGGCTCCTCAGTTATAATAATGTTGTAAGCCAATGTCGAAAGATTTTACAAAACAATTTTGTTGTTAGTATTCATCTAAGAAATATTACATTTAAGCAAATTACAACCATATTACATATTATGCATGATTAAGTCGTCCCTACCTGCCCCTTTGTCAATGTATGATTGTAGCCGTTTCTGTATTACCTTTAGCAAAACTTTACTATCATGGGATATCTTCCAGAGGTTCAAGCTGGATTCTGAAGAGGCCGTGGAACGAGGGATATCATTGCTGATGTCCGATGGATCTTGGCTGAAAGCAGAGAATATCACAAAGATGTTTACCTGTGCTTTATTGACTACGCAAAGGCTTTCGATTTGTGTGGATCATGACAAGCTATGGACAACATTGCAAAGTATGAGTATTCCAGAACACTTAATTTGCTCATGAGGAATCTGTACCTGGATCAAAAAGCAGTTGTTCCAACAGAACATGGGAACACTGAATGGTTTAAAATTTAAAAAGATGTGCAACAAGGTTGTATTCTTTCACCATACTTACTCAACCTGTATGCTAAGCAAATAATCCGAGAAGCTGGGTCCTATGAAGAAAAACGTGGCATCAGGATTGGAGGAAGACTCATTAACAACCTGCGATATGCAGATGGTACAACCTTGCTTGCTGAAAGTGAAGAGGACTTAAAACATTTACTGATGAAGATCAAAGACTTCAGCCTTCAGTATGGATTACATCTCAATGTCAAGAAAACAAAAATCCTCACCACTGGACCAATAAACAACATTCTGATCAATGGAGAAAAGACTAAAGTTGTCAAGGACGTCATTCTTCTTGGATCAACTATCAACACTCAAGGAAGCAGCAGTCAAGAGATCAAAGGACGTATTGCATTAGGCAAATCTGCTGCACAAGTGTTGAAGAGCAAAGATGTCAGCTTGAAAACTAAGGTGTGCCTGACCAAAGCCTTGGTTATTTTCAACAACCTCATATGCATGCGAAAGCTGGACAGTGAATAAGGAAGACCATCGAAGAATTGATGCCTTTGAGTTATGGTGTTGGAGGAGAATATTGAAAGTGCCATGGGCTGCCAAAAGAACAAACAGATCTGTGTTGTAAGAAGTGCAGCCAGAGTGCTCCTTGGAGACCACGATGGCCAAACTTCGTTTCTCATACTTGGGACATATCGTCAGGAAGGACCAGTAGCTGGAGAAGGATATCATGTTTGGTAAGGTGGAGGGAGGGTCAGAGAAAAAGAGGAAGACCCCCAATGAAATGGATTGGCCAAGTGGCAGCATCGATTGACTCAAGCGTGGCAACAGTAAGGTTGGCCCAGGATCGGGCAGTGTTTCTGTCTCCACCACATCAAGGAGCCACTAAGGAGCGGTACCTAGCACATGGTCTCCCGCTAGTTCTGGCTACTGTTGTTGTTAAGTGCCGGCGAGTCAGTTCCGACTCACAGACCTTGCTGTTCAAACCGACCTTTCGGTCAAGTGCTTATTCCTACAGTGTCACACCAGTACTGGCTACTAGCTCGACATTTTTTGGAAGCTGGTGGGAGAACGGAGGTCAGAACTGCTCTATCTGAACTTTGTGAAGGTGGGACCAAGATAGTAATTACATTGAGGAACTGGGAACCGAGGACGACAGGCTATTTAGAAAGGTGGGAGTGGAGCTGGACAGTTGAGGCTGAGTGGTTTGAGAGGGGGAAATCTTGTCTTGAAAAGTGCTGGGGAGGGGCTCTCAGGTCCAGAAGTGGACAAAGAAAGCCGGGATTGCCTCCTAGTGTCGCAGCCGGGAACCGCAGCAGAATCGGCTCACCACTCAGCTCCACCCCCGTCAGGGCTGCCCCTAGGCGGCGAGCCGCCACTCCACTTCTGGCTCCTGTCCATCCAGAGCACCCTCTGTAGGGATCGGTACCCACAGCTCCCGCGGCATTTCGCAGCGCCGGGCGGGGTCGCCTCTGTGCGCAAGCGTACTTGCACGCTGAAAAACCCGGAAGTTGCGTTATAGGCACGCGCCGCGGGGGCGGGAGTCAGCTGAGCTGCCAGAGCAAGATTTGTATCAGCTGCGATCGGCTGAAGGAAGCCTGCGACCCTTTTGGGGTTGGGAGTTGGGTGCAGAATTGCACCGGTTTCAAGGGCGAGGGTTTCCCGGTCTTCTCCCTTAAGCGAGAGCGAGAAGATCTTTAGGATTGTGCAGAGACCGTCGTCGGTGGCAGATCTGTCAGCTCCTGAGGAAACTCGGGAGTCGCGGCTTCTACTCCGGGGCAACGGGGTCCCTGGGAGTGGGGAGCCCTATTGTAATTCTTGGACCCCGGACTAAAGGCTCAGAGGCCAGGCACCATGGCGACCATCCTGGATGAGTATGAGGACTCGTTGTCGCGCTCTACGACCTTGCAGCCCGGTTGCCCCAGCGTGGGCATCCCTCACTCGGGTAAGGGAGGGGAGGACGGCACTCTTGTTTCTTGGCCTTCTAAGCACCCGCAGGGAAGGAGCGGGGAGAGGAGCGCCGAGAGCTCGGTTCACCTCCGGAGGCGTGCCGTCCGGGGCCCTGATTTCTTCTCAGGCTGTTTTAGTCTCCAGCTGGTGGATTGTGGAGGTTTAAGAGCAACAGAAGCAGCCACGTGATCTAGGCCCTACCATGCCACTAACGTCGTTTTAAGAGGGAACTGAGGCAAAAGAAAGGAAGTGACTTGCCTGTCCCGCTGCAGTTAGGCAAGTGAGAAATCTGAAAATAGACACCAGACTTCGGATACTTGATTCTGTGCTTTTCCCACCAGACCCTTTCCGGAGGTGGAAGGGAACGAGCTGGTAATGAAATTAATAAAAGGAGAATGTCATAGGGGAACGAGGAAACTGTCACTGAACAGGAAAAAAAAAAAAAAGAGATGATTTTAGGCCTTGACTAGACCTGGGTGCAGCCTGGAGGTAAGGGAAATTTTTGTAGAAAATAGTACAGAGTTAGCAGAGAGGTCTGAATTGCTGGCATATTTTGAGCAGTGGTAAAAGAATGACGGTAAAGACTAGAGGTTTCAGCAGTTAACACCACTAACTGGGCCATTTCTCAGAAGTTTGATTCTTCTCACTTAGACTTACTAAGAGCATTACTACCTGGGCAGGGAGACAGGAGAGAGGAGCTAGACTTCTTTAGTTGAGTTGGTATTTGCTGGTCAAAATCTTATAAGAGAAGACCCCAAGACCCCAACATCCCACTACCATTGTGAGCAGGTGCATCATGGTGTAACAGCATCTTCAGAGTTCAAAGACTCAACCCCTAACTTCTTTAAGAAATGTAGGAAGAACCCAAGATCCGTATGTACAGGTGATTAGCCAGCTACTTAAAATCAAACTATCTGCTAACCAAGGTCCTGTTTTTTGATGTCACTCCTTGCCTTTCCTCCATCTCTTTCCTAGCTAATGTTTTCTTCTCTGGGTGGGTTTTTCACTCTTGTAGGTTATGTAAATGCTCAGTTGGAGAAGGAGGTGCCCATCTTCACAAAGCAGCGCATTGACTTTAACCCTTCTGAACGCATCACCAGTCTTGTTGTTTCCTGTAATCAGCTCTGCATGAGTCTGGGCAAAGATACACTGCTCCGGTAACCAAGGGTTGGGGGGAAAAGGGTAAACTGGTGGTTACCCTTGGAGAGTAATAACTGACCAGGATCTTTCTTCCATGCTAAGCAGGTAAAGCAGTGGATTTGGAATTTTCAAGAAACAGCTCATCTCTTTCCAAAGAAAACCAGTACAGAATAGTGGTTAAGAGACAGACCTAGATTCCAAATCTAATTCTACCACTTACTAGCTGTGGAATCTTGAGCAAGTCATCCAATCTCTGTAAACTTGTCTTTTTGTCTGTTAAAGGTAGTACCTACCATAAGTCAGGACTTTAGAACAATCTTGAGGCAATTCCAACTTAATGGCAACTCTGTATAGGGTTTCCAAAGCTGTCAAACTCTTTGTAGGAGCCTAAAGCCTCATCTTTCTTCTGTGGAGTGGCTGGTGGGTTTGAACTGCCAACCTTGTGGTTTGCAGTCCAGTGCTTATCCTACAGAGCAGTTGGGCTTTCCTTGGAACAGTCTAAAGTCCTGAAATAGAGCCACAGAAATAGAAATAATATCTGACAAAAAAAACGAACAATCCAGTGCCATTGAGTTGATTCTGACTCATAGTGACCCTATTGTTGCTGTTAAGGGCCATCAGGTCAGTTCCAATGCATAGTCAGACCCTGTCTATAGTTTCCTAGGAGCGGCTGGTGGGTGTGAACCGTCAACCTTACGGAAATCAACTTTGCGGTCTGGTGCATTGTCCCACAGTGCCACACCAGGACTCCAAAAATAAAAACGTTGTTGTTGTTAAGTACCGTGGAGTCAGTTCCGACTCATAGTGACCATGTACAGGGTTTCCAAGGCTGCAAATCTTTACCGGAACAGAAAGCCTCATCTCTCTCCCATGGAACAGTTGGTAGTTTCGAACTGCTGACTGTGAGATTAGCAGCCCGATTCGTAACCACTATGCTACCAGAGCTCCTAAAAATAAAAATACTCACCACTAAACAAACAAACAAAAATATTAAAAGAACACTTAATACATTTCTATATTCTTGGGCTGAAGGGTGATCTTATATAAACTAGGAACTCCTGAAGCCATAAGGAAAAAGGTAGATATATTTTACTCTGTAAAACTTATTTCTGTGGCAAAATGAAATTAAAAAAAAAACAAACGCATTATGAATTGGGTCAAGACAAAGGATAGATGGGACAATAATGTTTGTTTCACATAACTAAGGATTTATATTCCTCTTCCTTAAAAAGCCCTCACAAAACAAAAAGCCCCTACAAATTAATGAGAAAAAGACAATTCAGTAGAAAAGGAGGATAAAAAATACAAACAAGCAGTTCATAGACGAGGCACTCGAAATTTCAAACGTTGTTGCTACTAGTTGATTATGACCCCACATGTGTACAGTAGAACTACTCCATAGGGGTTTCAAGGCTGTGTGGCCTTTTAAAATCAGATAACCATGCTTATCTTCGAAGCTTCTTCTAGGTGGGTTCAAACCATAAACCCTTTGGTTAGCAAACACATAAATACTTGCACCACCCAGGGGTTTCTCAAATTCTCAAAAAACACATGAAAATATTTTTAGTCTAATACATTTTTTAATGTCTTGCTGTTAGTGCTATCGAATCAGTTCCAACTTACAGCAATCCTATGTAGGGTTCCTAAGGAGCGGCTGGTGAATTTGAACTGCTGACCTAGTGGTTCAAACTGTCCCTGAGGTCCAGTGCATTGTCCCACAGCACCACACCAGGACCCTTAATGCATCAGACTGGCAAAAATTAAAAACAGTAGTTAAAAATATATATATATAGGCAGTAACTTTCAGGGCTGGAAAGACACAGGGAAGTGGACTTGCATACATTGCTAGTGAGAGTGCAAATTGCCACCATCTTTTGGAAAAGTATCTGACCTTAAAACTTAATATAACTGTGACCCAGTAATTTCACTTTGGGAAGTACATTCATATAAGGAAAAAAACACCAGTTTGCAAGAACATAAATATAAGGATATTGTTTGGGGTTGGAAAAACTAGACCTAAACGGAATGCTGATTATCATGATTAAATTATAGACCAGCCATCAAATGGAATATTATTAAAATCGTTAACAACTGTGTTTGTTGACCCAGTGGAATGTTAACAAAATATCATTGAAAACAAGTTGCAAAATAATGCATACATTCATAGACACTTTATGAAAACATTTTTTGTAAAAATAGCCACCAAACAACCCCATTTATGTTATGAGCATGAAGAAAGATGTTAGTATTCATTTGCTTATAGAGTTAGGAGTGGATGGGGTTTGAGAAGAAAACCATTAACTTTTTCTTTATACATCTTTGTGTTGAGTCTTCAGTTAGAATAAGCATATAATTTAAAAAAAGAAAAAATATAATTTAAACAGTATTCAAAATTCTTGTGCAGATTAAAAAAGAAAAAATATAATTTAAACAGTATTCAAAATTCTTGTGCAGATTAATTGAGATAAAACTAGTTAACCTCTTGGTATATAGAAAGTACTCAACCATTAACTGCTGTTTGTGGTTATTCTATGCTTAATTTAGCAATCTGGAAGACCTTTGCCTGTCATCCCAGATGCACTAAACTCCAGTGAAAGACCTGCTTAGTGATTTACCAGAATCAGATGATGGAGTTCCCAGAGCTGGAGTGTTCTTAAGTAGGAGGCCCTGGATGTGCTTCATGGTCCCCTTGGGATTAGATTGAGAATTTTATGTATAAATGTATATTTAGGGGAAGAAAGACTGTCTCATTACACCTTAAAAAGGGATTTGTGATCCAAAAATGATTAACTGCTGCCCTTCTCTAGCATGATGCTGTGACTCCTGTTTCCACAGCATTGACTTGGGCAAGGCAAATGAGCCCAATCATGTGGAGCTGGGGCGTAAGGATGACACCAAAGTTCACAAGATGTTCCTGGACCATACTGGTAAGAGGTAGTGGAGGTCTGAGGAGGGGACCAATGATTAAGTCACTGTCTCAGAAAGGGTGGGTGGGACAGCTAAAGTCTTGGTATTGATTAGCCTAAAGGAGAAAAAAATCAGATGCAAACTAAGAATAAGAAGGGGGTGTGTGAGATATTTCTAGGGATTTCATTTTATGCACCTTAATTTTAAGAACACCATGGCTTTAAGAATAAGTGAAGCTAAAGTTTTCCCTGGATCCCAGAACTCTAACCATATGATTCAGCTATTCCTTGGTTTAACTGGGCTTGAGCTAATCTGGAAAATGTTAAATCATTTTTTACTATTTTCTACGGAGTAAATATTTTCTAATTTGTGTATCAAATGATCCAATTTTTTTTTTTTAAGTTTTTATTGTGAATTATGTGATACTTTACATGGGAGAACATTAGCTTTTACATTCTTCCTATCGTATATCGTTTCATTGCCATTACAATCCCCTCAATAAATCATCAAACAACCAGAGGGTATAACCCACAAGCCTGCCCTCAGTCATCAGCACACAGCTCCTCTCCCTCTCTGGGTCTAGAGTCCCCAACTGTTCCATCTCTCTATGTCATCTTCTCTGCCTCCATCTCTGGCGTCACTGTTTCTCTAGGTAGGGTCCCTCACTCCGCTCTTCTCCTTTAATGGTCCCAGGGACTCCGCTCCTGGACTGCAAAGTCAACCAGCCCCCTCCTTTTGCTACAAAATATCTACCTTTATATTTCCAACCCTCACAGTCAGTCCTGATAGCAGTATTCACTATTGTACCACAAGAGTCCTATCCCCATCTCCTTTCATCAGCCCCGTCCAGACCAATTGGATACTACTCAGTAGAGATTCTACCTTCCTCCGCACCCTCTGGATCTAGGCTCTGTCTTGAAAACTTGTAAGCCAGTCACTTCTTGCCTTTGTAGCCCCCCCATTTTGGGTAGCCAATGTCCAAGTTGCCCATCCCTGTCTACCCTGTGTACCGAGAGGGTGGGAATGATCCTCACTGTAAAGATTTGTTCCCTCTTTTGAGCCACTGCATCTGTAGGTATAGGTCAAGTTCATCAAATTGTATCAGATTACTCTTTTTTTCTTCTTCTTTCTTTTAGTCGAGTTCTGATCATCCAGTCATTGAGGCCAGGTCAAGTGGGTATTATCTGCAAGTGTGGGTGTTCTTATGCATATGCCCTCTCATCAGCTGGACACTTCACTCTCCACTCTAGTCCTCTGTGGCTATGTCACTGTCTCTGGGTCCAGGAGTCCCCAAGTCTTTCCAAACTGCTGGCCAACCAGGCCTCCACCCAGGTTCACAGGAGTCTGTTGTACATGGTAGGACTTAGCTCGCAGCTTCATGCTGTTTTTCCCTCACTTCCCCTTATCAGTGACCAACGTGGTTACCAGTCAGAGCGCATGTCTGCTCGTGTATTCCCCTTGAGTCTTAGTCTTGGAAGGGGAATCCAATGAACTTTTATAACACAATCCATGTACGTTCTCTACAGTTGTACATAAAATGCAGTGTCTTTACTGTAAATTGAGTTAACATAAAATACAAGTTTGTGTCATAATAAAAACATTTGTGCTTACTATTTTAAAAAAAGAAAGGGTGGGTGAGATATGAGAGTGGTGGGGGCAAGGAGGAGGGTGAGGGTGGGAGAAGCAGCCCTCATTAGGTTGCCATGTTCTCCCCCACTCTAGGTTCTCACCTGTTGATTGCTCTGAGCAGCACCGAGGTCCTGTATGTGAACCGTAATGGACAGAAGGTACGGCCACTAGCTCGCTGGAAGGGACAGCTGGTGGAGAGTGTGGGCTGGAACAAGGCACTGGGGACAGAGAGCAGCACAGGCCCCATCCTGGTTGGCACTACCCAAGGTCAGATCTTCGAAGCAGAGCTTTCAGCCAGTGAAGGTGGGCTCTTTGGCCCTGCCCCAGATCTCTACTTCCGTCCACTGTATATGCTGAATGAAGAAGGCGGTCCAGCACCTGTGTGCTCATTGGAGGCGGAGCGGGGTCCTGATGGGCGTGGCTTTGTTATTGCCACTACTCGGCAGCGCCTCTTCCAGTTCATAGGCCGAGCCACAGAGGGGACTGAGGCCCAGGGCTTCTCAGGATTCTTTGCTGCCTATACTGACCACCCACCCTCATTCCGTGAGTTCCCTAGCAATCTGGGCTACAGCGAGTTGGCCTTCTATACCCCTAAGCTGCGCTCTGCACCCCAGGCCTTCGCCTGGATGATGGGGGATGGCGTGTTATACGGAGCACTGGACTGTGGGCGTCCTGACTCCCTGCTGAGTGAGGAGCGAGTCTGGGAGTACCCAGAGGGTGTGGGTCCTGGAGCCAGCCTTCCCCTGGCCATCGTCCTGACCCAGTTCCACTTCCTGCTGCTATTGGCAGACCGGGTGGAGGCAGTATGCACACTGACGGGGCAGGTGGTACTGCGTGATCACTTCCTGGAGAAATTTGGGCCACTGAAACACATGGTGAAGGACTCGTCCACAGGCCAGCTATGGGCCTACACCGAGCGGGCTGTCTTCCGCTACTCTGTGCAGCGGGAGTCCCGGGATGTCTGGCGCACCTACCTGGACATGAACCGCTTTGACCTGGCCAAAGAGTATTGTCGAGAGCGGCCTGACTGTCTGGACACAGTCCTAGCCCGGGAGGCTGATTTCTGCTTTCGCCAGCGGCGATACCTGGAGAGTGCCTGCTGCTATGCCCTGACCCAGAGCTACTTTGAGGAGATTGCTCTCAAGTTCTTGGAAGTTCGACAGGAGGAGGCTCTAGCTGAGTTCCTACAGCGAAAACTGACTAGTTTGAAGCCAACTGAGCGTACCCAGGCCACACTGCTCACTACCTGGCTGACAGAACTCTACCTTAGCCGGCTCGGGGCTCTGCAGGGTGACCCAGAGGCCTTGACCCTTTACCGGGAAACTCGGGAGCGTTTCCGTGCCTTCCTCAGCAGCCCCCGCCACAAGGAGTGGCTCTTTGCCAGCCGGGCCTCCATCCACGAGCTACTTGCCAGCCACGGGGACTCAGAGCACATGGTGTACTTTGCAGTGATCATGCAGGATTACGAGCGGGTGGTGGCATACCACTGCCAACACGAGGCCTATGAGGAGGCCCTGGCTGTGCTCACTCGCCACCGTGACCCCCAGCTCTTTTACAGATTCTCACCCATCCTCATCCGTCACATACCCCGCCAGCTAGTGGACGCCTGGATTGAGATGGGCAGCCGGCTCGATGCCCGACAGCTCATCCCTGCCCTGGTGAATTATAGCCAGGGTGGCGAGGCCCAGCAGGTGAGCCAGGCCATCCGCTACATGGAGTTCTGTGTTAACGTGCTGGGTGAGACTGAGCAGGCCATCCACAACTACCTGCTGTCCCTGTATGCTCGCGGCCAGCCTGTCTCACTGCTGGCCTACTTGGAGCAGGCAGGGGCCAGCCCGCACCGTGTGCATTATGACCTCAAGTATGCACTGCGGCTCTGTGCTGAGCATGGCCACCACCGCGCCTGCGTTCATGTCTACAAGGTCCTGGAGCTGTATGAGGAGGCTGTGGACCTGGCACTGCAGGTAAGCCAGCAAGTCTTGACCCCAGCCAGGTGAAGGGCCTGGAGAGCGGTAGCTTCAGATTCTGAAAGGTGGGAAAATGGACAGTGGCTGGCTGGGAAAAGAGTTTTGGCTCTGCTACTTAGTAAATTGTGTGACTTTAGCTAGTTTCTGAACTTTAGATAATTCGGCCACAAAGTGGGGGGTCATATCATAGTGAACTCCAACTCATGGTATCCTATGTGTGTCAGCATAGATATGTGCTCCTTAGCGTTTTCCCTGGCTGAGATTTTGGAAATAAATCACTGGGTTTTTCTCTTTAGGTGCCTCGGGGTGGTTGTCCCAACCTTTCAGTTACTAGCCAAGCACATTAACTGTGTGTACCACCCAGAGATTTTATGTACCTCCTGTTGTTGCTGTGAAGTGCCATCAAATCTGTTCTGACTCAGCAACCCTCTCTGGGGTTTTCAAGGTGGTGGATTTGAAGTGCCAACCTTCATTGCATTATCCTGCAGTGCCATACCGGGACTCCATAGATTTGATTAAAACACTTAGAACATTGGCTGGTACATAAGTAAGTTCTGCATATGAGGAGATGTCAAAACGTTAGTGGGAACAAGAAGAAAAAAAAAAAAAATTAGTGGAAAATGGAATTAAAAGACAATGGAATATGTTAGCTATTGCATTATGGACACTAAGAGGGTAAAGGTGCTAACCTGTGCATGAATTCAACATCTCTCAGAGCATGAATCATCTGCTTGCCTTAGGGCTACTTGAAGTGCTATTTAGAATGCATTCCTGGGCCAGAATCCAGGACTTACTGAATCAGAATGTCTGAGAGCACAGCCCAAAAAGTCTGTATTTTGAATATGTTCCTGCCAAAATATGGCACCAAATCATCCTTTCTACACAATACTGTTCAGCTGGGTTCAGTAATTTATTGCAGTATCCACACAGAACGCAGACAGCAGACCACAGTTATGGGGTTTCTTAGGAAAGTTAACAGGTTCCACTGCAGCATCAGAAAATGCTCAGAGCAGTGTCTCCTCACCCATGCTTATTGGCAGGCCTCTCTCTGTCCAGGCCGTATTACACAGCTCTTCTAGATCTGCTGATAAATGCTCACAGGGAACACCACTCCACCATAAGTCTCAGCCTTAAGACATTAGGCTCTAGCTCTGACTGTCAGCAAGCCTTGCTCCCCCATTAACTATCTGAAGGCACCCCACTCTGCAAGCTAGTGTCCTGCCCAAAGTCTCTCAGCTGTACTTGCTCCATGGGCTGGGAAGCTCCTCCTCTGTCTCATGCTCTGGCTCTTGGTTCTGCTGCCGCTGTTCCTCTAGTAACACAACTTTCTGTCCCTGGGTTGAGGATGTTCAATGCACAGGGATCTCAGGGTCCAAAGGATGCATTCCACCCCTGGCTCTTCTGTATTGATAATGAAATTCCCACTCTTACTTCTGAAATGGCTCATTTAAAATACATGTTAGAGTTGTGAGTTTTCACAATAATATCCACAGCTGAATCATGTCATCTTTTCACTTTCTTCTCCCACCTATTCTTCCCCAGACCCATCAGGAAAAGAGTTGTTTGGTGGGAATTAAAGACTAAGGCTAGAAGAGAAGTATTAAGTAATTCACTACACCACAGCTGTCCGGGTGATTCTTAAGTGCACTGAAATTGGAGACCCACCACCATAAGTAGCTTTGAAATAGTTGTGACAGGGACTTCAGATTCCTATCCCTGTCCTGGGAGTGGGAGCTTAGTGTTGGGGGCCTCATTTCAGACACAGGTTCTTCCTGGGAATCTGTCTTTCTCAGTCTTTATCCTGGACTTGAGGAGGGGCTGGCATAAACACTCCTGGTCTCCCCCACAGGTGGATGTGGACCTGGCCAAGCAGTGCGCAGACTTGCCAGAGGAAGATGAGGAGCTGCGCAAGAAGCTGTGGCTAAAGATTGCTCGGCACGTGGTACAGGAAGAAGAAGACGTGCAGACGGCCATGGCCTGCCTGGCCAGCTGCCCCCTGCTCAAGATTGAGGACGTGCTGCCCTTCTTTCCTGACTTTGTCACCATTGACCACTTCAAGGAGGCCATCTGCAGCTCACTTAAAGCCTACAACCACCACATCCAGGAGTTACAGCGGGAGATGGAAGAGGCCACAGCCAGCGCCCAGCGCATCCGACGAGACCTACAGGAACTGCGAGGCCGCTATGGCACTGTGGAGCCCCAGGACAAATGTGCCGCCTGTGACTTCCCCCTCCTCAACCGCCCTTTTTACCTCTTTCTCTGTGGCCACATGTTCCATGCTGACTGTCTGCTGCAGGCTGTGCGGCCTGGCCTGCCTGCCTACAAGCAGGCCCGGCTCGAGGAGCTGCAGCGAAAGCTGGGGGCTGCTCCACCCCCAGCCAAGGGCTCTGTCCGGGCCAAAGAGGTGGAGAGTGGGGCTGCAGCTGGAGGCCCCAGCCGGGAGCAGTTGAAGGCTGACCTAGATGAGCTGGTGGCTGCTGAATGCGTATACTGTGGGGAGTTGATGATTCGATCCATTGACCGACCCTTTATTGACCCCCAGCACTATGAGGAGGAGCACCTCAGTTGGCTGTAGGAGGATGCTTACCTTTCCTAACCTATTCTCTGCTCAGTCATCTTGAGATTGATGAACTCTTACTATGCTGGGGTGAGTGGGACTCTAGGTGCTGCCTGTGGAAGGTCAGCTGAGTGCACTGGCCAGAGTTTCCTACTGGTCTTCTGTAGACCAGGCCGTCCGCCTTTCTTCTAACAGATGGCATTAACTTGGGAATGCTGACCCCCATTACTGTTCCCTTGCATCTAACAGCTCATTTTCCCTCTTTACTCCTACACATTCTGATCACCAGAGCAAAACCGTGTTCTTCCTTGTCTTCACTTTTTGGCCTCTGGATCGCCAGCTCTTCTCCCATAGAGGAAGCCCTATTTTCTACCTGTCACTTGGTACCCACAAAGGGAAAGAGAGTCCCTCTATGTCCTGGCATTCAGGTCGGGTAGTAGTGCTGATGGTGGGAATGCTCTGGGACTCCCGTGTGAGAGGTACCCTCTGCAGAGAGCCTCATGGAGGACGGTGGGGCATGATGGGCTGAGAGCATTAAAATTGTCTGCACTGCACTGCTGGCTCTGGAGTCATGGCTCTGTGTTGCTGCTGGGCTGAGCAACGTGTGTGAATGATCTCAGGAGGAAAGCTGTCAGGTCCCTGACTGCCTTCATACCATGGCCTCTGGTCCTCCACCCAGGGGTGAGACAGAACGTGTTGCCATAACCTGCTCACTTCCTAATCTGACTCTAACCCCTGGGTTTTCTACCCAGAATTACAGAGCAGGAACTGTTCTTCCCTTTGGCCAGCAGGTGGTGCTGCTCCCCAGAGAATCTCGCATTCAGGCACCTGGAACACTGATTTCTCAAGCCATTTTTCCACTGGCGCTTCTGCAGACTATTCCCTCCATAGTTCCATAACTGTCCTGAGAATTTTCTGGGAGTTTCCATTGTGTATAATTCTAAGCCACTCATAATTTCTCCTTCCACTAGTCTTTGAGCATGCTAGACGTTGCTTATCCTTTGCCAGCCTTGGTCCCTTCCTTCCAGTCCCTGCCCAGTTTTGATACCCTCTCACTGTCTGGCCTCTCACCTTAATGCTGAGACTCAACAGAGAGGGAAAGTAATCATTACCCCCACCCAAGACATTTGGCAGGTAGGTTTTCTCCCCATCTAATCTGTGCTGTACTGTGGTGGTTTGTGTATTGCTATAATGCTGAAAGCTATGCCACTGCTGTTTCAAATACCAAAAGAATTGCCCATCATGGATAGGTTTCATTGGAGCTTCCAGACAGAGACTAGGCCATGAAGAAGAAACAGATGGTCCACTTTTGAGGGGTGAGCCCCCAAAACCTGTTGAATAGCAATGATACATTGATATACTGCCTGAAGATGCGCCCCCTCAGAAGGCACTCAAAATATGACTGAGGAAGAGCTACCTCCTGAAAGTAGAATCAACATTAATGATGGGGATAAAGCAAATCTTGCTGGACTTTGATTTGCTTAAGAGACAACTCAAAATGAAAAGAAACAGCTGCAGACATTAATAATTGGAACGTAGAATGTATGAAATACAAATCTAGGAAATTTGAAAGTAATCAAAAATGAAATGGAATGCATAAAGATTGACACCTAGGCATTAATGTTACGTTCTGTCAAGTTAGTTCTGACTCATAGCAATCCTGTATAGGGTTTCCAAGGAGCAGCTGGCAATTTGAATGGCCGACTTTGTGGTTTGCAGTCCAGTGCTTATCCTACATCCACACATTAATGAGCTGAAATGGACTGGTATTGGCCATTTTGAATCAAGCATTCATATAGTTTCTCATGCTGGGATTGACAGACTGAAGAGGAATGAAGTCTTATTTACCTTCAAAAAGAACATAAGTTGTATCTTGAAATGCAATAATGTCTGTGATAGGGTAATTACACAGGTAGGGTAATATCATAGGGTAAAAAGACGACCTGTTAATACAACTATTACTCAAGATTTACCCACCAACCACCAAAACCAGTGATTAAGAAATTGAAGAATTCTATGGACTCCTGGTGTGACCCTGCAGGGTAGCACTGGACTGCAAACCACAAAGTTGGCCATTCAAATCACCAGCTGCTCCTTGAAAACCCTATACAGGGTCGCTATGAGTCAGAATTGGCTGTACAGCACTTGACAACAACAACTTCTTCAGCCTGAAATTGATCAAACGTTAATCAAGGTGTACTAATAATTACTGATGATTGGAATGTAAAATATGGAAATAGAGTAGGGAATTGGTAGTTGGAAAATATGAGCTTGGTGATAGAAATGACACTGGAGATTACATGATAGAATTTTTTAAAAGCCAACAACTTATTCATTGCAAATATTTTCAACAACATAAATGAAGACGATACATGTGGACCTCACCATATGGAATACACGGGAATCAAACTTATTACATCTTTGTGAAGAGATAATGAACAAGCTCAATATCATCAGCCAAAATAAGGCTGGGGCAGACTGGAACAATCGACCAATTGCTTACATGTAACTTCAGGCTAAAGCTGAAGAAAATTAAAACAAGCCACAATATGACCTTGAGTATATCCCATCTAAATTAGAGACCATCTCAAGAACAGAAAAGATGTATTGAGTGCTAATGATTGAAGAGAGGAGTTGTGGGATGACAGCAAGAGCATCATACATGAAGAAAGCAAAAGTTCATTAAGGAAAGAAGAAAAAGACCAAAGTGGATGTCAGAAGGGACTCTGAAAATTGCGCTTAAACAGTGTAGCTAAAATGGATAAAAAGAAATAAGTAAATGAGCTCAACAGAAAGTTTCACAGGGCAGCTCAAGAAGACAGTAAAGACCAGGAATTAGAAAACCAAATGGGAAGAACATGCTTAGCATTTTGCAAGTTAAAAGAATGGAAAAAAAAATCCAATTTTCTATTTGCGTGATTGAGGATTTCATGAGCAAAATATTAAATGATGTAAGAAGCATCAAAAGAGGATGGCAAGAATAGACTCACTGTACCAACAAGAATTGGTTGATGTTTAACTATTTGGTAGCAGGTGCTCAAAAACTGATGATATTGAAGGAAAAAATCCAAGTCTTACTGAAGACGTTTGTGAAACACAAGGCTCCAGAAACTGATGGAATACCAATGGAAATGTTTCAACAAACTGATGCAGCATTATGCCAAGAAATTTGGAGACAGCTACCTTGCCAACCAACTGGAAAAGATTCTGTTTGTGCCCATTCCAAAAAAGGGTTACCCAACAATGCAGAAATGATCAATATTATTAATATCACACACAATTAAAATGTTATGAAAGACAATGTAAAAATGGTTCTAACAGCTTATCAACAGGGAACTACCTGAATTTCAAGCCAGATTCAGAAGCGGATGTGGAAGGAGAGAGATCATTGCTGACTTCAGATGAATCTTGGCTGAAAGCTGAAAATATCAGAGAGATACTTACTTGTGTTTTATTTCCTATGTAAAGACACTCAACTGTGTGGATCATAACAACCTATGGATAACAGTGCAAAAAGGGGACTTCCAGAACACTTAATTGTGTTCACTGTGGAACCCATGCATAGACCAAGAGACAGTCATTAGAACACTGTTTTAAAATTAGTAAAGGTATGCCGAGAGAGAGTTACATTGTTTTACCATACTTATTCAATGTGTATGCTGAGCAAATAATCCAAAAAGCTGAACTATAAGGCATCCAGATTGAAGGAAGGCTCATTAACAACTTGTGGCATGCAAATGACACAACCTTGTTTGCTGAATGTGAAGAGCACTTGAAGCACCTGCTGATAAAGATCTAAGGCTCTAGCCTTCATTAAGGAGTACAACTCAAGTGTAAAGAAAACAAAAATCCTCACAAGTGGACCCATAAAAAACATCATGATAAAGAGAGAAAAGATGGAAGTTGTCAAAGACTTCATTTTGCTAGGATCCACAATCAATACTCATGCAAGCAGCAGCCAAGAAATCAAATGACTTATTGCATTGGTCAAATCTGCTGTAAAAGACCTCTTTAATTTTTTAAAGAGCAAGGATGTCACTTTGAGACCTGACTCAAGCCATATCTTCAATAGCCTCATATGCAGGTGAAAGCTGAGCAATGAAACTAAGGACAACAGCATTTGAATCATGGTGTTGGTGAAAAATATTGAAAGTACCATAGACTGCCAGAAGAGCAAACAAATCTGTCTTGAGGAACTACAGCCAGGATGTTCCTTAGAAGCAAGGCCTGCAAGACTTCATCACATGTACTTTGGACATGTTATCAAGAAGGATCAGCCACTGGAGAAGGGCATCGTGCTTGGTAAAGTAGAGAGAGGGTCAGTGAAATATAGGAAGACAGATCCCCAGCAGTAAACTGCAACCTGTCACAGGACCCAGCAGTGTTCCTGTTGTGCATTGGGTCACTATGCACTATGAGTCTAAGTCAGAACTGACTTGAGAGTACCTAATAGCAGTCTCCTGTGATCCCTCCCCAATTAGGTTTCTTTAGTAGTGGCTGGAGACTAGGTGCCAGGGAGGCCTGGAGTGGGGCCACCCCATGACATCAGCTGAGCACCCTTTGCCCCTTGGGCTGGTGTCCACAGTGCACTGCCCAGCTCCACGGGTGTGGTCTATCAGCTGGCCCAGATTGAAACAAAATAATACCACAGTGTTCCTGGAATCGGAGTCCGACTGGGGGCACACCCACCAGCCTGGTGACTACAGGTTTCTCTTTTCCCCCAGCCTAATCTTCCAAGAAGGACCTGTTGGTATTTTCAAGTCAGCTCCTACTCAAGATGACCCTATCCACAACAGAAATACTACCGGGTCCTGCTGATGTACTGGGTTAAGCATTGGGCTGCTAACCATAAAATCAGTTGTTCAAACTCACCAATCAGAAGAAAGATGAGGTTGTCTATTCCTGTAAAGATTTAGTCTTGGAAACCCTAAGGAGCAACTGGACTCTTGGACAGGATCGCTATGAGTCAGAACCAACTTGGTGGTATAGTAAGTTTAATCTTCCAAGACTCCTATAGTTCTGGTGGAATCTTGT